GAGGATCACTTAAGCCCAGGTTGAGGTGGAGTGAGCTGTGATCCTGCCACTGCTCTCCAGCCTCGGCAACAGAGAACCCGTCTCAATAAAAAAGTATAGTGGCCTTAGGTACATTCATAGCGCTGTGTAGCTATCACCATTATCCATCTAAATAACATTTTTTTTTTTAAAGGTCTCCTATGTTGCCTCAAACAATCCTCCCACCTTGGCCTCAGGAGCAGCTAGAGTACAGCCGCTGCCACCAACCCCAGATTTGCTATGACACTGATGTACAAGTTATGAGTCCCCGCTTTCAACTGTTTTGGGGTATAACTTACAAGTGGAACTGCTGGGATAATTATGTTTACCCTTTTGAGAAAAACACCAAACGGTTTTTCACAGCTGCCACATATTTAGCAATGCACAAAGGTTCCAATTTCTCCCCATCCTCATCAACACCTGTAATTCCTGTTTTGTTTTTTTCTTAATGGTCACCCTAACAGGTGTGTCATATCCACTTTTAAGTTTCTCCTTCCTCTGAACTTTCAACATATTTTATGTCTGATGGCATTTATTTCTCACAAGACCTAGAAAAGTCCTTCATACAAAAGGTGCTAAGTATTCCCAAGCCTACTGAATACCAGTCCCACCATGGCACTCAAACTTTTTCTCATGTATAACCCAGCTAAAAGGACACTTAACAAGGACCAGAAAAACCATTGTCTTGAGAATGAACCAGTATGGTGGACTGGCTACGTTAGGACTAATCCTGTAAATACTCCAATCAAAACCAAATTATGGTTAAGTTCTCAATTTCCTCCCACTGGAAAACTAAGCCTTTCCAACCTGCCCTATAACCCAAATGTGCTTAACGTTATTTATCTGACTTTAAAATTTCAACTTGGTGTTGCTGCTAGCCTAAGATGTATAGAGACAGTTTACAATATCTTTTGCATTTCGCTGATGCTTTACAGTTTAAGAACTCTTTCGCATACAGCCTGATTTAATTTTACAGAGCAGAAAACCAACGTTCAGAGAGCTCAGACAACTTAAGAGATAGCTCCCAATATCAAGGCGTATTCCACTTACCGACTGACCCTTTTTGTGCTTCCTTCTGTAGAGGACAGTCCAGTTTATCTGCCGAGGATTCCTCTTGGAAAGGAACGCCGACTCGCATTTTGCATTAAGAAACTGGAAAACCTGGAGTGACAAATTCAAAGGAATTACCTATTTATAGAAAATACAAGAGGCTGAATGAGCTTGGAATCCTTAGAAGATCAATATGCCAGTTCTGGCTTATTTTACAAAACTGAAGCCCACAAGAACCAAAAGGCTGTCACGTAACTGGCAGGTAACTGTGCAACACTATGAAGGTGCTTGCGTTTAATCTTTTCTCGAGAGCAGGAAATCTAAACTCATAGCAAACGACAGGGTGGTGCATCCTTCTGGGAAGCATTCTGCTCTTGTCCATCCCGGGATTCCAAGGGGAAACTACCAATTATCTCGGTACCTCAGTTATTTCCCTTACACAGGGACATCAGTTACATAAACCCCTCCTGACGTCCGACCTGGCTTACAGTAAGTAATCAACGCTGGTTCACTTAGAGGTGTCTGGTCCTAACGACCAGTCCACAGAGCGTCCACGAAGCGTTCCATAGGTCAGTGGTGATGTGGGGAATGAACCCGTCTAAACCGAATTAGACCAGCCTTTCCTCCTCGGAGTACAAGAAGCTAGGTTAAGCCGACGCGGCTTTTTACCTTCCCGTCAGTCCTGGCGTAGCGCCTCCCGTGTCCGGGGTAGATCTTGTACCCGCTAAAACTGCACAGCTCCACCCTGCAACAAAAAGTGAAAGTCCATCAGGGAGGGTGTCTACAGCCATGCCAGGGACGACAGAGAGGCGTTCTGCCCGAGGATGTAAGCGGATTGGGAACCACGGGTCGTGCTTACTTCATGGCGACGGATACACGGGAAGAGAAGAGATGGCGAAGAGAAAGAGAGAATCATGGGAAGAGACCTTATAAGGTCGTGGAGGGGCTGGGGGCCGGAAATCTCCTCCCCCAAAATCCTTCGATGTTCCCGGCGCTCCTTGATGACGTATCATCGTGAGGCGGAAGATCTCGTTTTCCGGTTTTCCGTGACAACTGACTTCCTCTGGCGGAATTCTTCCAGAGGCTGCTGGAGGATTCTCGGGCCCAGAGGGCCTGCCAAAAAGGCAGTCAGACAGTTGGTTTCTGAGTCATTCTATCTCTCCGTTTTTTTGTTTTTTGTTTTTTTTGAGACGGAGTTTCGCTCTTATTGTCCAGGCTGGAGTGCAATGGCGCGATCTCGGCTCACCGCAACCTCCGCCTCCCAGGTTCAAGCGATTGTCCTGCCCCAGCCTCCCTAGTAGCTGGGATTGGCATGTGCCACCACGCCCGGCTAATTTTGTATTTTTAGTAGAGACGTGGTTTCTCCAATTTGGTCAGGCTGGTCTCAAACTCCTGACCTCAGGTGATCCCCCTCCTCGGCCTCCCAAATTGCTGGGATTACAGGCGTGAGCCACCGCGCCCGGCCCATTCTGTCTTACTGCCAAGTATTCTAGAGCCATCTTCCGGCTGCAGGGAATGTGAACTGAAGAGAAAAGTGTCCTGTCTCTTATCATAAAGAGACCCAAAGACGAATGCCCCGCAGGTAAAACAAGTCACATTTTGCCTTCCCTGTTGGCCCATTTCCTCAACCAAACAAATTAATAGTTTAATCATTTGAATACTTTAACCATAAGAAAGTAATGACAACCGAACTGTTTCCCAGGCTATGCGAATCAAAGAGTGCACGTTGGCGCTTTGCATTAATTATAATTAACATTCATTGAGTGCTTTCTCTGTGCCGGGAATTACGCCAAAGGCTTTGCAAACATGAGCTCATTCAGTTTCCAGAATTCCTATTAAGTACCCGCCTAAGAACTACAATTCGGAGCTGGGGCCTAGTGAAGCTGAGGGGGTCGGTGGAGCCCCGCTTGGAGGCCAAGGGCTCAATCTGTTACATATTTCATCGTATGACAAGGAGTGGCCAGAGGCAATTCTTGAATTCTGTGGGAGGCTGCAGTATATGACTAGGAAACAAATGTAATGATTGATTTCTGCTGTCTATGTATGCAAGTCACGCTAAAAAGGTTTTGTAAGGTAGCTGGTTGAAGAGATTTGGAATGTCTAACAAGTTGGCTGACTAATGTTACGCAAACTGTACAAATGTGTTGGAGCCAGTCTTTGCTTTTTTTTCTTGAGACGGAGTTTGGCTCTTTCACCCAGGCTGGAGTGAAGTGACGTGGTCTCAGCTCACTGCAAACTCCGTCCACCGGGTTCAAACGATTCTCCTGCCTCAGACTCCCGAGTAGCTGGGATTACAGGCACCCGCCGCTATGCGCGCCCTGCCTGAAACCAGTATTAAGAATGAGTTAGGTGGCCAGATGCGGCGACTCACGCCTGTAATCCCGGTGCTTTGGGAGACCGAGGTGAGTGGATCACCTGGGGTCAGGAGTTACAGACCAGCCTGGCCAAAATGGTGAAACCCCGTCTCTACTAAAAATACGAAAATTAGCCGGGCGTGGTGGCGTGTGCCTGTAATCCCAACTCCTTGGGAGGCTGAGGCAGGAGACTCACTTGAACCGGGGAGGCTGAGGTTGCATTTAGCCAAGATCGCGCCACTGCACTCCAGCCTGGGCAAGAAGAGCAAAACTCCATCTCAAAAAAAAAAAAAAAAAAAAAAGGGAGGTCGGGCACAGCGGCTCAGGCCTGTAATCCCAGCACTTTGGTGAGTCAGGAGAATCGCTTGAACCCCGGAAGCGGAGGTTGCAGTGAGCCGAGATCACACCACTGCACTCCAGCCAGGGCGACAGAGCGAGACTCCTTCTCAAAACAAACAAACAACAACAAACCCCATACAAAACATCTTTCGGAAATAGTCCTGGCTTCTACAAGATCCAAGGCACAGCTGAGTTTAGGTAGCCAGTGGAACCAAGATCCATCTGAAGGAATGCAGTCCTTTTTGCTCCACAGAACCTCAGAATTTATAGTCCCTTCACAATATTTTAGAAAGATTTTGTTTTATTGTTCTTTGAAATTACGTTTGGCCTGACCGGTTCTGTGGAAGAAATGCAGGAAACTGGGCCTTAGGGATTTTGGCAGTATTTTACTCTTTACTGGAGGGCCTTCTTGAGTTGGTATGCCAGGGTTCCTTGTAACACACTCCCATAACAAACAAATTGTGCTCAAAATGCTCTTAGAATAGGGAGAAATTTTGCAGAGAGAGACCCTTAAATGAATTTATATTATACAGTGTCATAAAGTAGAGCTTCTGACACTACATAAATTATTGCTGACTTTATCCATGCTTTCTCTTTTATCATAGACAAAAGGTTTAGCTACACTCTGTTCTCTTTTTATTCATTTATGGAGCAATACTGAATCAAACTTGGTGCCCTTTTCAGCCTCTGTCCC